TTGTTTAAAGAGAAACAAAATACTAGAACAATAATGGAAATGTGGAAGTATTAATACATTGAATATAATTTTTTTAGTCCAAGTAGACAAGTATGGAGAGCAGCGAGATAAATAATTTACTTTAATTATTTCTAATGCATGACTTTTAAAATCCAGTTTATGGTCAATCCATATTCCTAAGTATTTAATTTTTGTTACCATTTCAATAGTGTCGCTGCCCAACAATAATTTGCAGTCCATAGCCAATAGCTGTTTGTAAATGGATTCCCTTGCAATAATCATATAATTTGTTTTAGAAATATTGACCTTCAAATCATTAATATTACACCACTGATACACATCATCCAATATTTGATTAAGTGATGTTTCAAGTTGGCCCAGATCTTTTGTGGAATAATAGAATAAGGCATCGTCAGCAAAAAGATATGTGGTACAATTTTTTACGTTTTTAATTATGTCATTAATATATATAATAAATAGCAAAGGTCCCAGCACGCTCCCCTGAGGGACGCCAAAATCATTAGATATATGTTCTGATAATATGTCACTGACTTTTAGTCTTTGTTTACGGTCACTCAAGTAGCTCACAAACCATTTTAAAACTACTCCCCTAATACCAATGCTTTTTTGCTTTAATATTAACCTTATCCTGTTTACAGTTTCAAATGCCCTTCGTAAGTCAAGAAAAATGGCACCAGTTGCTAAGTTTTTGTCAATATTTTGCCTCCAGTCTTCCAAGATACCCTGCACAGCAGTTTCGCAACTAAATTTTACTCGAAATCCTGATTGAAAATCACTTAGTATTTTATTCCGATCTATATACTCAACAAGTTGCATATACACCACTTTTTCCAAAATTTTGTCAATAGTGCAAAGTAAATTTATTGGACGCAATTCATTGGCAGATTTCAATTTAATTACTTTGGGGATCGGGATTATAGTGGAAACTTTCCACATATCTGGAACTTGACCTATTTCTAAAACCATTCCAATCATTGAGATCACAAAACATTATTTTTTCCTCACTATAAAAGTTCAATCAATCTGCATATTCATAAAGCTTTTTATTAATCATTTGCACCCTTTCATCAAGGCCATTTTTTCTATAATTCATGTAAGGAATTGAAGTTAAAACAATGTTAGTGTGAGTGCAGTATTTAAGTTTTTTATTTATATCTCTAAAAGATGGAAATTGCAATATATCAACATCATTAGAACCAGCCATTATCAAAACATAGTCATCCAAGGTAAAATCTTTTACTAATTCAACAATGTCTTTTGTAACCATTTCAAAAGATGCGCCTGGTTTAATTATTGTTTGACATACCAATTTATTGTATTTTACCCCAAAGGATCTGTCCAGATGGCGACCATATTCGTCACATAAAATAAGTAACCTTCCCCTATTCTTCATTTTTCCACTTCTTTCTGTACTCAAATCCTCATTATTTTCTAGCTGCTTCTGCTTCCCCATTTTCTCATTCTTGCTGTCCTTGTGTAGATCTTCTTTCTTCTCTCCCAATTCATTCTTCAACTTTGCTTCATTTTTTGCATAAATTCTATTATCTGCCTCAAGTATTACTAATGCGTCCTTCATCTGATTCTTGAGAATTACAAGATCTGATAAGTCTCCTTTCAGTTTTATAATAAATCTCTCATTGTCATTTATCTGATTAATAGGATTTTTGTTTTTTTCTTTTAATTCCTTAATAAGTGGTTTTAGGTTAATCTCTTCGTCCGTTTGTTGTTTTTGTGCTTTTATTTTTATTTTTAGTTCTTCAATTCCATTTTTAAGTTCATCAATTTTTTTATCTTTCTCTGTAATCTCTTTCAAAAAACTCTCTTCGCTTCTTGAAGCGTCCTCCATTAATGACACTGAACTTCGTTTTAGTGGTGCTATATAGTTATCCTTGTCTATTATTTCAGTTTTCAAGTCTTCAATAACAGATTTCAATATGTCAAAAGTGTCTGGCTCATCCTCAGCTGCTGCATCCATACAGTTTCGGGAACATACTGCTAAACTGTCCCTTACAATGGTATATTGTTTGTTTAACCTTGTCCAACAGCTTCTATGAAATCCTTTTTTACATACGACACAAAACAATACAGTTGATTCTTTATTTTTGCAACATTTAAATGACGACATTTTAGGGTTGAATCTTTAAAAATTAACAAAAAATTCATGTGCACTCGGACTACAGTGCGTTTCAAGTTTAGTAGTTTTGTTTATGTTAAGTGCAGGTTGTAAAGAGATAAGCCCAGTAGCAAAAAATAGGTACCTGGAGATAAAAGTCTATTGTTATTTTCGTTATTTTATTTTGATGGTATAGAGTTTTTCAACTGTTTTCCGAATTTACCAGGAAATGATTTGATTTCCACTCATGAAACCTTCACAAACAAAAAGTTTACACTGTGCACAATACGAAATATTCTGTGTTGCGTTGAACTCGATAAACCAAATCATTGATCCTTTTGTAGGGTCCTTCCTTCCCATGCTGAAGATAACTTCGTCGACACTCCTTTCTTTCTTGCTGGATTATACAACCACACTAAATCACCTTCTTGAAATCCGGCTGAATTGGCTTTCAGGTCGTATCTGGTCTTCATCCGGTCACTGGCTAGCTGATGAATCCTTGTCCAGTTCTTTTCCGACTGTAGACGCGCCATCCCGTTTCATTCCATTTTCAGTTTGACATTCAAGTAGCTTGGATGAAGGTCCAGCAGCTCCTTCTGCTACATACTTTTTCTCCTCTTCCTCATCGCTGCTACCAAGTTATACTACGCATTGTCAAAGAATCGATATACATGAGAAAAACACTAGTCCAGTTGTAAGAAGAACGGGCCTGATCGTCGATGACAAATGGACTACCAAACAACAATGGAGGAAGGAGGCCATTGGCGCCAATCATTGAGATTTAATTTTAAGTGAGGTTGTGACGGTTGTGTATTGTATTGTATTGTATGTTGAGAAGTTTATAATCTTCATGGATAAGATTAGTGATGTAAAATTTCCGAAACATTCAAAAGCCGCGAACGTTCTCGGAAACTTTCCGGGAATATTGGAAACTTTCAGGAACTTATGGAAATATTGTTTTTTTTTAATGTATAGCTAAATCAGACAAATCGTTGTAAGCTTTATTTACCTATTATTGTAGTGTAGTGTACTGACTATAGACTTTAAACCAAGAAAGACACCTATTTTTTTCTGTAAGATCAGCTAAAAATTAAACTATGTAGTAAAAACACTTTTATGGATGGTTGAATAAGGATTTAAAGGAAAAGCTGATCCGATTGACCTAATCCCTCAGCTCTTTATTTTTTATTTTTCTTCAATGAAGATTATTTTAAAAAAAGACAACCTGTAGGTACATCAGCTGGTGATCGGGTAAATCGGATCAGCGTTTCCGTAAAGACAGTTGGACTGAGCTATGTCATCCACATAAATTAGGGAATCCAAGCCACGTGACTTTTGCCAACCAGCCGGCATTTTGAAATTTTTATGAGGTTACAATACGGGTTATTACATGTCAACGATGTCAGAAAAGTGTCAGATTTGAGAACTCGCCCCGTGTATTGATAATCCCGCCAAAAAAAAACATATGTTTTTTGTTTATTGTTTGCCAACCAGACGCTATTTGGACAGGTCATTGGATTACCTAATTGAAATGACGTCACTGAGCCCTTGTATTCGCAATAATCTCACATTTTTATAAAATTCTTCTGGAAAGTTCTTGGGAATATTCTCGAAAGTTCTCGGAAATATTTTTTTGAGAGTTTTTGATTGAAAGAAAATACAAGAACATTTTAGCAGCGATGAAGAACTGGAGACCAGGGATGGTAAAGAAGGGGAAGCCAAAAAACCTGTTTTTAAACCTCCTAAATGTGAACCCCAAACTGAAGCTGAAAGCGTAGTAAAACTTGGTAGCAGCGATGAGGAAGAAGAGGAAAAGTATGTAGCAGAAGGAGCTGCTGGACCTTCATCCAAGCTACCTGAATGTCAAACTCAAAATGGAATGAAACAGGATGGCGCGTCTACAGTCGGAAAAGAACTGGACAAGGATTCATCAGCTGGCCAGTGACCAGATGAAGACCAGATACGACCTGAAAGCCAATTCAGCCGGATTTCAAGAAGGTGATTTAGTATGGTTGTATAATCCAGCAAGAAAGAAAGGAGTGTCGCCGAAGTTATCTTCAGCATGGAAAGGACCCTACAAAATAATGAAGAGGATCGATGATTTGGTTTATAGAGTTCAACGCAACACCAGGAGTAAGATAAAAGTTGTACATCTGGACAGGTTAACGAAATATCACGGGCGTGAAGTTGATCGAGACGATCAACCTTAAGAGGAGGGCAATGTGACGATTCGCCAGGCTGTCAAGAATCTCTCGGTATTCCCTATTGAGTATTCTAGAATCTAGCGAATTATTCTACTTAATTCGGGAAAATAAGATTATCGTGTGTATTCTAGATTTTGCAGGAATAGATTTAGGGATATATAAAGGTGGCTATTGCTTTGTAGTTTCAGTTTTCAGTTCGACTGTGATACGATTTAAATAGTGATTGTAGAGAGTTTAATTTTTGAGTTAGTTATTAAAGTAATTGTGGAGTGTATTGTTATGTGAAAAAAAATATTGTTGTGTTAATTGAACTTTGATTTTTGGAATAAACGAAACGAACAACGAACCCAAGATTTCTGTCAGGCAATCCAAAGCCGTGACAGTATAATATACCATTGATTCGGGAACATCAACAAGGTTGCTGGAAGAGAAGAAGGTATCCTGTTTTGATGGCAAAGTCTTATTAAAGCCAGGTATCTTTTATTTTTCAAACACCAAACCAGCTTTGGAACCCATGGAGAAGGAAATTGAGGAGGCTGGGCAAATTGCCCTAAGTATACTAACAAATTCCGATTTTAATGGTCAAACCTGGGGCAAATTAAAAAGGATTTATTTCAAAAGAAAAATACATAAATCTGTTAGAAGAAGATGGTGGAAGACACGAGTGTCTCAGAAAGATAGGAATGAAAATCCCTGTAACCACATGCTGGGTTATGGGATTCTCTATTAGTGTAGTATGAATAAACAAGTCAGTTGGTTAATCCGCCATATTATAGTGTACCTAAAAATCGAGATGGAAAGAACATGGAAAAGAAAACACCCGGTCTCTGTAAGATTATAATAATTAAATTTTGGCTAGAAACTATTGGCTACTGGTGGAAGAACAAAAACTTTTTTTGAGGTGTCGACCTGCAAGCGCTTTGAGATCCTAATGTAAGTTTCTACCCTTCACATAAAACATTTAAATCAAAAAAGCACCATTTAAAAAAAAAACTAACCTACCCTATCATTGGAACAAAAAAAGGCTGTTACAGAATTACAAGAGCTACTTAGATATTATAAATTTAAATTATACACAACAATATGAAAATACGGTTTTGCTGCCATTACTGGCAGAACGGAATACGTTAACGAAAGAGCCAGAGGGGCAAATAAATCACGTGGCATAACGTTTTGTCCAGAGCCGGGCTATACGATCATGTTCCTCGCGGTTTTGCAGGTATTGTGTGGCTATACTACCAACTAAAGGATCGGCTGAAATTTGAAAAGAAACCAATAAGAAAAATTACTTTTGTTTTATTTGTTGCTGAGCATCTTTCAGGTCACCATGAAAAATTTGTGCCAGATAAATGTTTATGTAGAATGCAGACTTGGTGTAAGAACAGATAGAGAAAGTGCTAATCATTTACCTACTAATTTTTATTTTATTCCTCTATTAATGTGAGCAAAAAAGGCTTACCTGGATTACAGTCAGTCAATAAGGAACATATTGACAGTAGGACCTTGGAGATAGTAAGTGCAGGTGACCAGTTGTCTTTCAGGATATCAAGGCAAATAACACCTTGGCTGTTTATATTGCAATGGTAGATTCTTGTGCGGAAGGTTACCTTGGGTGGTTTGAAGGGATATTCTGGTGAAAAGTGAATATCCAAGAAAAAGACACCACCTGAAACATATTTTATATAAATAAAAGAAAATATTCATTATATTTGGTAGTATTAGAAAACAAAAATTAAGAACGGAAAAAAATTTACTGCTAGTACTGCTAGTTGGATGGCAAATACCCCTTGTCGAACTTTACTGTGGTTTTCTTCTGTTATAGGTATATTATATATTTGAAACCTGAAACTAAGAGCAAGCCTGTTACATCCTAATTCAGATAATATAAGCTTGAAGCATAAAAAAAAGAAAAAGCTGGCAAACATGAAATATTATCCTAATCAAGAATGTAGCTGAAGGTTTTGCATTTTTTCTTATGAGCAGTTGCATTGCATTGGAGTAACAGTGATATGATTTGTTCATGGCGGGACTCAAGCAGTCTGTAATGTGTTTCCAAGCTTTGGACCTGGACCATCTAGTATTTTTCAAGGCTGAAGTTCTTGGAGAGTATTTTCCTAGATGTAATGATATGATTTGATTTTATTTGATATGCATGGTTTAACTTTTATTTGGAATCTGTATAATGTAATACTTTTTTTTATTATCTTGAAGATTTTCATCTAAAATTTCCAGTGTCTCTATTCATTCACAGGCAACAAATTTCACAATTTAATCTCTTCTTTTCCAATCAAATCTAATCTAGTTCCGATTCTGTTTTATTGATTTATAGGTTGGACTGAGTTGTTAATGTTTCTTGGGCCAAAAGCATTTTGTCATATGCCACTTCACATTCTAGTTTTGTTTAACCAATAAAATAAAAGGCAACAATGCACACTATCAAATGTATTACAGAAGGACTCATTGATTGCCCTAAACTGTTCAATATCTTTCCACATTTTTCATTTTCATCCTACTAACTATGGTTCCAAAGAGCAAATGACATAATTGTTTAGATTTGCTAATGACATACCTCAGTGAGTTGGTTGTTTCTCTAAAAAAGACTAGTTATAACATATTACAATTACGAAATTCAATTCGTTTTTGTTTAAGCTTTTTTTATATGAGTGTAATAAGACCTCTTTCCAGTTATTGAGAAATGTTCATAAATCAAAAATTAGGTGGATAACTCAAACGATAATTTCAGCTAGTTTGTAATAAGCGGATATTACTGTATTAATTTGTTGATAATACCATTTTAAAATTATTTCAGGTTGTACTAACCTTCATAGACTGAACCAGGTGGGCCTAGGATAGTAGATACCCATTCGTAGAAATTTTCACCTTTGGGACCAGCACTGCAATTCGGGGGAGGATCTAGGGTGATTTCTGCCAATTCTTTTTGAATGCGTTTGGCCGATGTTCCAAGAGCTTTCGACATTTTTGGGTTCGGTTTGGTTTCTTTCGTTTCTTTCTGATCTCCAACTGTAGCTTGTCCACCTCTGCCTCTTCCTGATCCGCTAGAACCAGCTGCTGACATAATCTGAAAATACAAAAAGGAATTGTTATCTCAAGGAAAAGCCACTGCATGATAAATTCCAAGTGTTCGTTCTTAATTTTTTATTTGATTAAAGCTTTGTGAGTGAGACATGTTTTCTCTTTTTCTGAAAAATGGTTTGTTTATCAACTTTGTGGATGTTATTGTGTAAAAATAGGTGTGTGGAGTTAGCCTCACAAAGAAACAAGAGGTCTGAAAGGTTCAGAAACTTAGTACATATTATGCCTATGAAATTAACACTACTATATGTGTAAATGTTATGCAATAAACAATAAGCTCTACAATAGGTTTTGATCAAAATGTCAAGAAAAATGTAGCAAGTGGGTATTTTTGCAAAGCCCAAAAATCAGACTCTACTATCATTAAAAAATCCTGAAAAAAAAATATTATCCAGCAAAATCTATTATGAGGTCTTAGAGACTCTACTGACTCTAAAGAATTTTTAGAGATTATTATTTATCAAAGTTGTGTCTGTATGATCACATGAAATTCAAAGTAGAAATTCTTGAATAAAAACCCTGCTTCTAAGTTTGTAGTTAATTTTGCTTGAAGTTTTGGCACCCAGAACCACGATTCAGTTGATGGTGCATCATCCTAGCAACATGGAAAGGTCTTCACTTGTCATTTTCTTAATGGAAAAAGCAAAAAAGTAGATAACAACAGTAAGCAATTGGAAGAAACATTCAGTATAAATAAAGTCTAGCAAATGCTTCTACCCTACCTCCGTCTCTTTTCGGTGCATTAACACTGAATATGTTTATTTCAAAAAACTTAAAGCATTTGGTTCCATTTTATTTTTATGAGCCATTAATTATATGAGCCATTAATTAGCTGGAGTGTAGATAAAGAGAAATACCCCAACCACAAACCTTAGCACAAGGATCAAGGCCAAATATTTTAGATTTTTTTGCTTCTTGATAAACTTGTTTACGTTTAGAACAACATTATTTGTAATTTAATATAGTTTAAATACACTCATCAGAATAGTCTAGGGAACAAGAAATATAATAATATGTCTTTTAATTTTAAGACAAAGTGACTTTTTTAAAGATAACCTGGGTATTATTTATTGAAGAAATCTTATCAAATTTACCATTTCATTCAGTTTAAATATTTAATAAATAAAATCAGCAAAAAATTTCTGATAAATATAAGTAGAGGTATAGGGTATAGGTATTTTCTTGTTCCTTAGACCATTTTAATGTTTGCATTTTAGTCCAAGATAATTGTATTCTCGGAAGGTGTGAAAAAATTAAATAAAAATAAGGCGCAAGCTGATTTTTTAAAGTTTGTTCAAGGAGGGGGTGTAAAAACACCGGAATCAGAAACTGATTTGTTTTGATTTGTTTTTACGCCCTCCTTGAACAAACCTGAAAAAATCAGCTTGCCCCTAATTTATTTATTTTTTTTCAAACGGCAATTACCCTGGATTAGGTATTGTATTTGGTTCATTTTTGTAACTACCCATGTATACTTATTAAAACTATTGATACGCCATCTACAAATAAATAAATAAAGTTGGATCCACATAGCAATTTCTTTCAATAATTTGTTAATAACAAGGTTGGTGGTGCAAGCAGCTTTGCTTCGAGAAAGCTTAGGTATCTATTTGGTTGCATATTTCCCATTTTCTGTGAATGCAACACCTCAAATACTATTCCGAGGTCAGAAATAATCAGCATTCTGAATTTGCAGCCTTTTCTTCTTTGTAAAATCCCAATATTTTTTAATACCTCAGTAGCTTCCTGGAAACTATAGAAGAGAAAATCATTTCATTGACTTTCTCAATTGCAAAACGGTTCAACTACATAATCAATCAATAGAGTTTCTGATTTTTGGGCTCTGAAAATACCCATTTTCAATTTTGGCTCCAATCATTCATATCAAAGACTAAAAAGAGGACTTCAAAACAATAATATTTTTCAAAAACTTTCAATGTCAAGAAAGTTTCTGGTTTTCAGGCTCTTTATAAATACAAAACATCACATATTGAGTGAGTGGCTCTTGGTATAAAGGGTAAGAGCAAGAAATTTAATGTGGAAAAAGCCCAAAAATCAGTGACTCTATTGATATTAGAAAGTGTTAAAAAAATATTATTATTTAGCAGTCAAATTGTATGATTGGTATACTTGTGGGTGGCTATTTATATTGAGGGTTTTATTCCAATTGAATTTTTGATAGACAAATGAAGTCCTGAAGGGTGATTTCGAGACTTAGTTGTCTCCTGGAGATTGAGTTTCAGAAGCCTATAAATAACTCAGAACTAAGGTGTGCAATGATTTGAGAAAAAAAATTAAATGGGGTTGATTACAGGACTTGGAGGTGCTTTTGAGAATAGACCGACCTCCTTTCAGGGACTGCGCGCGTTGCTTGTAGGCTGCAGGTACAAGCTTCCAATGAGAAGCAAGTTTGTTACAGGCTGGCGTCATATTCTTATTCTGGGGCCAGTTCAGAATCAATCGTTCCTTCTTTCTTTGTAACGTGTAATTCGAAAAAGAGCAAACTAATATTTTACATATTACTTGAACTCACCGCAGTGTCGTTTAAGGTTATGTTAGATTATAATTGAAATATTCCTTCGCAATTTCATTGTGCGATGCTGCAGGATGAAACATTTATCAAAATAAAAGTGCAAACGATGTTAACATACACTTTTTAAGCTCTTCTTTTTCTGATTTAAGGCGTTGTGAAACACTTGACACTATATCACTTCTTTAATGTTATAATGTTCGATTTGTATTGTCTACATTTGTTCTGCAATAATACAATCTGGCTACACCGCACCTACGAGTTGCGCGCGCATGTCATCTTTTGATACTTTCTAACTTGTATTTGTTACGATTAAGCTCTCTTTTTCTATTTATGCGAGACAGGTCAATTCCAAAAAAGACCAAAATTCTGACGTAGTTGAATTTTTGTTTCTTTTCTTTTTGATGGTGGAGGTGCTAGCTTGACCTAAGCTGGCACCACAAGAAAATTGATTTTTTGAGAAAAGTGAAGGCACCCAACATTTTTTATTGATGCTCACAGAAAAACAGACATTCCGAGATATGCAGAATCTCAAAATTTTTAAATAGGTACATAGTAAGTATATGAAAGCACATAATATGCATAAATATACCTAAGCTACTTAAGTAACTTGTCCTTTCGGCTAAAAAAAAAACAATGCGAAAATCCATGGGTAGGCTACAGGGCACCAGACTCTCCTCAAACCTTTCTGAAAAAGTTCATTTATAGCAAGGTTTAAAGTACATATATACTAATCAACAGAGAGGCTTTTGAGACTCTCTTGCTTGGGGTGACAGAAGGATCAGTACTTGGACCTCTGTTATATTCCCTGCGTGTCCCTAGCCTGAAGGCTGCAGGATATTATAAAGTAGAGACTGTGAGAAGGTTTTGGAACAAAAAAAAAATTTCTGACTTACTAAGGAAGTCCAACTGGTTGTTAAATAGTAAACTCAGAATAAATGCTTCAAAACCTGACTATGCATTATTGGAACAAGAAAATAAGATAATTGAACTGTCTATCATCATGCAAAATAATGTGCCATTTGAAAGAGTTAGTTACATAAAATACTTAGTGCTAATTATAGATGAAAATGTCTCGGAAAATGTCAGCTGGAAAAGAACATTTCACATGGTCATAATAAAATAATACCAATGGTGGGAACTGTTTACAGATGTAGAGGCTACTTATCCCACAAAAAGGGACTAAATATTTAAAATGCCTATTTTACTCTTTTGGTGTGCAACCAAATTCCAAAAAGTTTAAATACCTCCTATAAAATAAGGCATTGAAAGTATTAAGGTATTCGCCAAAATAAAGTACCGAATATACAAATTATATTATTTAATAAATTTTATGATGTGTATGTTTACTATAGCGGCGCAAAAAAGCTTCATCACGATTCTGCAAATCATTGAAAATATTTATTAAGAGTGGTTGCTGAAATTTTTCTGAGACTTGTTTTACTAGCCTACTAAGAAACCCGTTTCTTCAGTAGAAAGATCCATGGGATGAAGCTACAGAAATGAAAAAAATTGAAAAAAAATTCCCCCTCAAATGAAAAATTGAAGTGTTCAAGCGTTTTCCCAGATTTTCATTCCAAATCCAATAAATCGGGGGGACTGTTTTCCCTGGGACACCCTGTATAATCTTTACTTACTGACAATCAAAGAGAGTTAGCTATGAATTGTACACTTAATATATATTATTAGGATTTATGTTCGAATTTATGTGAGTATATAACTAACTGTTGCTTACTTTTAGATTTTTTCCCTTGTTACCAGTGATTACCACTGATTAAAGGATTTAATGGAGTATAAAATTGCAAATTATAGATCTGAATAATTGCCATACCTGATATGAGATTCAACCAACGAGAAATAAACCAACTTAGCAGTATTCAAACCAAGTTCATTTGACGCTATTCTTACAGCATAGCAGCCACTTGCCAATCGTTTGTTTAGATTTGTAACGTGCTCATTAAACTTAAGTTGAGTATCAACATGAATACCAAGAAATTTACAGCTAGTTTTATTTTCAATTGTGTGTGTGTCTAATAATAAATCATCAAAAAAAAATTTAAATGTCAATATGTTGGTTTTCTTAGAGTTAAAACAAAGCAAGTTAGAGTCACACCAGCTCTTTACAAGATTTAGGTCTTCAGAAATAATCTTTTTCAACTCTTCAATATTTTTTCCGTTCCAGGACAGAGTAATGTCATCAGCGAATGATGTTATTTTAGCTCTAATGGGGAGGTGATTAATATCATTTAAATAAAGTAAAAACAATATTGGTCCCAACACAGATCCTTGTGGAACACCATTGGTCACAGCCAAGTTTGATGACTGAGTATCACCAATCTTAACAAATTGTTCTCTTCCCGAGAAATAAGATTCAAACCATGAGTATGAGATTCCTCCGAAGCCATAAATTTCTAGTTTTTTAAGCATTATTTTATGATTTACGCAATCAAAGGCTTTAGAGAAATCACAAAACACAACGGCGACAAGCTCACTTTCATTAAGACTGACGAATACCTGTTCCAAAAGATTAAACATTGCATCATGGGTGCCCTTTAATGGTTGGAATCCAAATTGAGTGTCACTTATTATGTTGTGTTTTGAAAAATATTTTAACATTCTTTCTTTAACTAACTTTTCAACTATTTTTGACAACGTCGAGAGAAGTGATATTGGTCGATAATTACATGGGTTGTCCAATTCGCCACCCTTATAAAGAGGCAACACAATAGCTTTTTTCAGGCAGTCTGGAAATACTCCTGTTAAAAATGAAATATTAATACATTCAGACAAGACATATAATGCATTATCAGGCAAGTTTCTAAGCAAATTTATTGAAACATTATCGTGCCCACTGGATTTATTGTTTTTTATTCCTCTAAAGATTTCATTAAGTTCTAATACGTTTGTAGTTTCCAGTACAAATGTGTCATTTATTTTAACATCCAATAAATAAGAGCCAGGATCCACATTACTTTTCAAGTTTTGTTGTAAAGTATCAGCAACACTACAGTAGAAGTTGTTGAGAATATTGGGATCTAATTTAACATCTGTTTGAAGAACTGAGTTTTTACCGGTTAACTGATTAATTATTTTCCAGTTTTCTTTGCTGGCATTTTTGGAGGAGTTTATTCTATTCTGATAAAACTTTTCCTTAGCTGCTTTTAAAACACTTTTGTAAATTTTTCTATATCTGCAGAAATAATTTATGAACTGAGGACAATCACATCACAATCTCCTTTGCTGTTTAGTATATTTATTAATGATCTGTCAGGTGTCTTCAGAAATTCCGATTTTTTGCTCTTGGCTGATGACTTGAAGTGTTTTATGGTTGTTCGGGATGTCAGGGATGCTCAATTATTGCAAGTGGACTTGGATATGTTTCGGACTTGGTGTCAAAGAAATAAACTCCCCTTAAATGTTGAGAAGTGTAAGGTTATTACTTTTTCTCGGAAAAAAACACCTTACTTACATAATTACGTTCTTAATGATTTGGAGATTAACAGGGTTGAAACTATTAGAGACTTGGGAGTCTATTTCAACACTAATGTAAGCTTCACAGAGCACATTGAAATAACTGCTAATAAAGCAATGAAATTACTAGGCTTTATGTTCAGGTCACTAAAAGAATTTACTAATATCTACACCCTAAGAAACATTTATTGTGCAATTGTTAGATCAGTTGTAGAATATGCTTGCCCTGTCTGGTCCCCTTATTATGCTGTGCACATCTCCCACTTGGAACGAATCCAAAAAAAGTTTTTAAGATCCATTGCATATCGATTGGGCATCCCAAGTGAATCTATAAATTATAATGAGTTAATGTCTGTCCTAAATCTTGAAAATCTGAACCAGAGGCGACAGTTTTTTGATATGTGTACTTTGTTTAAGATTGTTAATAATTCTATTGATTCTCCAGACTTACTTGCTAGAATTGGCTTACATGTACCATCTAGCAATTTAAGAGGAAACACATTGTTTAACCTTGATTTTCGTAGAACCAATTATGGTTACCATTCACCTTTACTTAGAAGCTGTCGTTCTCTGAATGATATTATTTTGAAGACTGATTTGGATGTTTTTAACATAAGTTTGGATAGATTCAAAAGAATTTTAAAGTCGATCCTAAAATGATCGTTTTTTCTATTTGTATTCAATTTTAAGTGTATTATGTTGTTTATGTTTTGATACCTACTACAAAATATTTGTTTAGGCTTATGTAATATTGTTTTTTATACTAACTTGTCTGTTGCCTACTTGTTATTCCAAATATTTATTATTGCGTGTACCTACACTTTAAGTCTACCTTTGTAAAAATGGCATGTCCGTAAATAAAGAATTTACAATCAGTAAATTTGCGAATATTTTGTAACAAACGCATGTTTTTTGATGAAACTTTAATAGCGGGAGTAATCCAAAGTTTACTTTTCTTTTGCTTAATTTTTTGTAATGGAAAAGATTTTAAAAATGCATCAGTTACTAATTTTTGGTATTCGTTTAGTGGTGATTGACAATTCAAAACTGCTGGCCAATTTAATTCCTTGCAAATATCTTTAAATTTTTTATAATTGTTGCTGCTAAGTAGTCTACCAACTTTATATTTTGGTGGTTTATTTATCTCAAGTTGAAATTTTGCTAAAACTGCCTCGTGATCCGAAATGCCTACAGGAATTACACTACAGCTAACAAACATTTGCTTTAAGACAAAATTTGAACACAGATAATCGATTTTGGTTTGAGAATGAACAGTTATTCTAGTAGGTTCGTTAACATACATCTCTAGGTCAAATGATAAAAACAAGTTAGAATTTGCTGTGCCTCTGATCTGTCATCATCAAAATTTATATTAAGGTCTCCCCCTAGTATCAAACCTGCCTTGGGTGGCAGTTTTGATAAAAGAATTTCAAGATTTTCAAAGTATTGCTTTAAGTTTGAATAATAGGGGGGCCTGTATATACACAAAATATATAAATTATTTGTTTTGTTATATAACAAGGAGAATTCAAAAACATTTTCAATTAAAAGGGTATTAAACTTTGTTATGGGGGTAACATCAAAAGATTGTAAAAATGTCTTATTGACAAGAATAGCAGTTCCACCATGAGTTTTACTATTTCTACAATAGAGAGACACCAGAGTATAATTTTCAATACAAAATGGTTCATTTTCTGCTAGCCAATGCTCAGTTATAAGTAAGGTAGCTGGAAAATTGTTATCTTCCAACAGCAGATATAAATCATCAAGTTTGTTCCTTAGCGATTGTATATTAATTAGAAATGATATGATGAAATGATAAAGACTCCCTATAGTTAAATCCTCATTACGATGTTAGCATAATGGTGAAATACAAAATAGGTAAGTGTTTGGGTGTTGCTATAGACTATAGTTTCATAAGTTTAACTGGTAGGTGCAAGTTACTCTGAGCTGACTCACACCACGTGAAATTACCCAGTTCGGTCTGGTATAATGTAAAGTAGCAATATGCGAAAATGTAATTAATAATTGCAAGAAAAAAGGTAAATGGAAACGAGAAATCTCGACTTCCCTTTTGGGGATGCACATAAGGGGTGACGGGTGAAATAGATAGTACTGGTAGTACGCCGGCACGCGCGCGTGAACAGATTCTGTTCGTCTATATATGGTTCTGGTTTTGTCTTGAGTCTCAACAACCTTCTATCTTCCCTTCGACTTTTTCATTGGTTTTACATACGGTACCATCGCGCATTTATTTTTTAGCCTTAGGTTAAAATACGAGGAGCAGTTGCAATGTAGGAAAAGGATAAGTTGGAAAGGGTGAAAGTTTGTCGAGAATTTTGTACTGGTTAATAAATTATGCAAAGCGTAAAAACAAAACGTAATTCTAAGTGCAAAATGTGAAAATTAGTTAGGCTTAAAAATAAGTTCAATTGTTCCAAAAAATAGCAATTCATCATTAGAATAATTCCAAATAAATATACAAAAACTTACAGCTAAACACAACTGGACACAACAGGTAAGTATTTGGTGGTAAAAAAAGTTGCTATTCAAGGCAACCCTTATCAACACATAAATACCTAAAAGATAAAATAAGATTTGACCCAATATTTCAAGAAGGTTATCTAAACTTGTTGTTGAGTTAAAACAATGGATCGATTGATAAACAGAAAACCCATTAAAATAAAGTAAATGCCTGGATTATTAATTTGCAATGATAATGGAAAAAAATGGGCACTATATTTTATGCTTAAACGGGATGCAGCCCACTGTCCAAGTAGCAGAAATCGAAAAAAATGTTTACTTTTTCTGGAGACAACTCTCGCCAATTCCCAAGTTCTTTGTTAAGGTCAAACGTTTTTGATTCTAAGATTCCGTCAGGTTATCCTTCCAAGGAGGAATGCATAATTAAGCACTATAATGGTTTAAATTAAAATTGTTTATCACTTTCAAAAAACCCATAGCAGGTAGAAAGAAACCATGACCAGTGGCCACCCTTCTCCTCAAACTCAAAATAATTGATTCCCGTCACAGTCAGCCATTTTGATTTCAGACTTATATGACTTTGTGAACATAAAAAATATGCATGAATTGTTGAACTCCATTGTATTAAAAACCCATATTTTCTGTGTTGATACGACCCATGGCATAGCGATTACATTAAAATCAACATCCTAAGGTTTAGCAAGGAATTTTAGCCAGAAGGACAAGTTTTTTTTTTTTGCGTACCTACCTACAGACCACAAATAGCTTTTTATGTAAACTACGGTGCCCCATAATGTTTAAAGATTGGGTTGGACCCATAATTCGCTTACCTAGTGGTTTTTTCACTTGAAAACTTGTAAAGAAATTTACACTCCCTTTTTAGAAAATATGGCTGATCATGGCAAACACAAAATACAAACCCCTATCGGCCTCTCGTGGCTATGGGACTGGGACTGTGGGACTGTGTACTGTGTATTATCTTCTGTCTTATTTCAATTTCACTTTCTGTCTAGCGGGCAAGTTCGGGTGGGTTCTGGGACGATGGAACATCGATGGCCCGGTTGGCGAGTCGGTTGTCGAATCGGCCGTCGAGCGAATCGAGCAGTTCAACGACCGGAGTAGTGTTGAACTCGTTCGTTCAGTGAGAACTTGAGAACTTATCAGGCATGGATGATACAGTCGCTTCCTATCTCCTTAGTTTTTTTTTTGCAGGTTTTCCTACAGTGGGCCGTATTCATAAAACTGAAGGATGTCCTTGTAAGTATAAGGTAGAAGTATAAGGTTTTGTGTTGAAGAAAAAGGTACAAGTAGGTATAAGCATTTCTTTTTTCTCGTATTCATAATGATTACCTTATACTTGCAAGGATATCCTCCAAGAATAGGTAAAAGGTTGTTGGCATGTTGCTCAGCAAACATATTGCAAAATGGGAAATCGACAATTCAGTCGATCAAAACAACGTTCAATTATCACTCTCCCTTTTTTCAAAAGTTTATTATTATTTAGTTCAGCACCTGAAGCAAGATATCTGAATGGAGTCATGAGCCACGGCTCTATAACATATCCATCATCAGCAAGTAGCACGACATTGCGATTATTTTGTGAATGAACCCTTATTTGCGAATTTCTCCATATTCTTGAATCGTAGACCGATCCAGGCCACCTAACGTCCATACTAGTGAATATTTCCCTTGCAGCACAAGTGGCTTGCAGATTCAGTATAGGATGATCTTTACGGTTGACATGGTAGGTATTTTGGTTTCATTCCTACGTGGGTAGCTACAGTCAACTACTCCAATTGCTGTCGGTCACATATACTTATTGCTTTGCCATAACGGTTTCGCATCCATAAGTCTGTGTTGGTTGGTAGACGGAAACTTTACTTTCTTGACTATATACCTTTTTTTTCTTGACCTATGCCTTTCTGATACTCAGGGACACTGAGATGAGCGTAAACACATCGCCATTTCTAGGACGGATGATGACACTCATTTTCTTCTTCAAACCGGTATAGTTCTTTGTAATCACAAACAGGTGTTGATAAACGCTGCTTGTAATGTTTAATTTCTCTCAGTTCCACAACATCTGCCATCGCTACAACTGATCACTACGACTCAGTCTGCTATTGACCACACTCGAAATTATTGAAGGATATCCTTATTTAAAAGTAAAAGGTAACGTTTATGAATAACCAAATACTTTTTGTGAAGGATATGCTCATACGCTCATACTAAAGGTTTTACTCGGAATATTATGAATGCGAGCGAAGGATTTCCTTCATATTCTGCAAGTATAAGCATAACCTTTTTTTCATGAATACGGCCCAGTGTAATAATTTGTGGTTATCGAGTAGTATTATATATTTGTGTGTCTACAAACAGTAACATTTATTGTTGAAAACAAATAGGCCACATTTTTCAAAAACATCTTTAAATTATTGAGTTAGATATTCTAATAACGTCTGTATACTTTTATTCAAAAACACGCCTATTTTTGAAAATTAAATAATTTGAAATCGAGTTTTTTAACTGCTGCGAAAACGCAAGCTGGGACTCTGACGTAAGACTCGTAATGCGAGGATGCCAAATTTCTCATAGTCATAAGTAAATCAAAATCATTCCAAAACATGAATGCGACGAATTTAAAGTATTGTACGAGGAAGCAGAAACTTTGTACTTCGTACCTACATAGGCAGTTCATTTGTACTTGCTACCTGCTCGAAAAATCAGGAAGATCTGCTAGGAGCTGCTATTAATGAGCCTATTATATGGCTATGTGGATTCGTCGAGTCGAAACTCGTATCTGAGGTGATTTCTAGCAATTCTAGCGTTCACTTTTCTGAATTGGTTTAAAACAGGTTTGAAAAAGTATATTTTCGCGATGAACTTATGCCATCACATCAAAATTGATTGAAAACCGTTCTGAAATACAATCGAATCCACTATTTAAAATTGTTGCAAGTTAATGTAATTAATAATAATTATTGTATTGAATAACTATCAGAATCCGGGAGTCAAGGACTGACGTCATTGTGACACTGTTTCAAACCAGTTTTGTTGAAAAATGTTTTAAAACACACATTTTAGACGCGAGAAAACACCTCTGATCTTCATGTGATTGGAAACATCCCTGATGGCCGTTTGCACCCAACGATGGTTTGCACCGACCATTTTATGGGAGGTTGCTTGTAATGGGTAATTTGATGACGCATCTGGCGTGCCTTATGGAGATTTGCATTACGTTGATGTACCCCAGATGAAGCCATAAAGTTATCAGGCACCCTACCCCACCCCTCTCAAACAACCTTGGTTTAACAATAATCAACATTTAAAGGTGACATTTTCACATGTGAACATTTCACTTTACTCCCGCAAAATGATCTGTGCAAACCAAGGATAATACACACTACTAGTACAGGATAGTTTATTCTCATAAGGCCTTTGTAGATCAAATCTCAAGCCCCCCACCACGCCAAAGAACCAGTGATGACGTAGACAACGTGCCGCTTCTCGCCTTGACGTAGGGTGCTTGCAAGGATAATACACACTACTAGAGGATTGCTTATCAGCCTCGTTTTTGGTAATCGCCGCCATATTGAGCCGCTTTCCAGCTGACGCTTTTGAGCACGCAATCCAGCTTTTGCGCACGCAAATGCTTCAAGCGCGTGTTGGTGTTTCAGCCGTACTGCGCTTCGAGAGCTGCTAACTTTTGCATTTCAAACACAGAACACTGTGCTGCACCGTGCTTGAAGCACGCAGCTGGAAAGCAGCTTTGGTGTGTCACCATTTCCGACGTCATAAGGAGGTTGTCAGCCGTTTGCACTAGCGGTCGCAGTAAAGTAAAATAAAACCAAGTATGCATAAAGCAAAAGCGCGCGGGATAAACTGTAGTGCAACAGCCTACGTCAAGGCGAGAAACGACATGCTGTCTACGTCACAACTGGTGATTTGGCGCCTTATGGGGATAGGTTATCCTGTAGTAGTAGTGTGTATTATCCTTGGGGTGTTTTATGTTGCCGCGAGCTTTTGCTTTATGCATGCCTGGTTTAGTACATTATTTACATTCTGATGGCCGGGAGAAGCGTCACTTTAAAGGAATACTTAACGTTAAGGCTTTCTCGAAATTGTCAGTGCAAACGGCCATTAAAATCTAAAACAAAGCTTTTTTAGATCTCGTTTACATATTCCTCTTTGCCTATTAGTTGTATTCCTTTCAAGAGTTTAATGGCCGTTTGCACCAACTATTTTAGGGGACCCTTAACGATAAATATTCCCTAAGATGATATTTTTACATGTAGAAATGTCATCCTCTAGTGGCAACCTATCGTCCCGACCAGTGATGTGCCTGTAGACAATGTCAACGTAAACAATTGATTGTCTACGTGTAGACAATTCGAATTGTTTACGTGGGCATTTGTCTACACATTGTCTACATGTGACGTAAACAATAAACTTATCTTAAAAAATTTTAAAAAAAGTTCCAAAATTACTACTACCTAAGTAGCTTATACCTATCACTTTGATATCAGCATTCACTGATTATAACTATGAGGAAAACCGATAATAAAATAAAAATAATTTTTGTAAAAGAAAGTGTGAGGTTAGAATTAAACGTCATTAATATTATTTTACATTGTTGACACGTTGTCTACATTGTCTACACGTAAAGTAGACAATGAATGTCTACGTGTAGACGCACATCCCTGGTCCCGACTATCCCATTGTCTTTCTACGAGTGAGTCGGGACGATAGGTTGCGACTAGAGGATGAGAATCCCCCACCTGCTCCCCTGTTTCGAGAATAAAGTTCTTGCTGAGTAGCTGAACAAGCTGTGGCTGAACTAAGCCGCTGAGACCGCCTGAACGTACCCAATTAGCGCGTAACGCCCCAGAGCTGTTCCGGAGCTCCTCCTAGGTGTGAAAGGAATACAACTAATGTCACTTCAAACGTTGATTATCGTTAAACTTTTTTGACATTGGTTCAAAACAGTCAATGAACACATCATTGTGTCATTACCCGTTTCAAACACTGGTTTCAAACTGGTTTTGAACCAATGTCAAAAAAAGTGGAAGCGAGAAAATGGCTTAGGTTTCATCAACAACCGAAGGTGCTTTCCAGTGACCCATTTGAGTTACTCCTGAGCAGCTCAGGAGTGCTCCACAATTACTTTGCGCGTTCCAGTGCTTAGAGTGTCGTACACTTGAACTACTCATTTCTGTTATCCCCTGCCCCATCGTGCACCAACCTTTATTTCGGTGTTTCATGCTCCTGAAGTGCGAAATGGTGGGGGTTAAGACGGGAGCGTTCCAGTGCTGCTTGTGTGGAACGGTTCAAGTGCGTCACACTCCAGGAGTATGATACTCTAACAATTTAGGCACTGGAAAGCGGCTCGAGATTCTACCCACTCTGGTCACTGGTGAAACATGACAAACAGCATCCGATGCCCTGATCTGTGTTTGACATTGACAACTTGAAACTTCAACAGATTTTTGTTTACCTTTGTTATTTCGAATTTGAACCTAATTAAACATCAAAAATTACGAAAATATTGGAACTTTTTTGAATTGATTTAATTTTCAAATAGCGACAGCGACATTTGGACTGTACTCAATCAAAAGGAGAACAAAACTAAAGAAAACTCCCTTCGATAACTATCGTTGTCTTTACTGCCCTACGAAACTCCTTTTCGTGATCTAGATAGAAATATTTTTGGTTTGGAATAAGGACCCGTTGATTACTTTCCCAAACAACTACAAAATAATCTTGTTACTGATAAACCACTGGATTTCGATACTTGGATAAATGATAAGCCATTTGAGAGAAAGGATATTATTGTATTGCAAGATCCGAATAATTTGTCCAAGTTTGATGTATCGACATTTCATCATGTTGAAAAGTATTTACAGCTTTAAACTGAAGGTGAGTGAATTGAAATTTTAATTTTGTTATAATTATTGGTGAGCAATTAACAATGTCCATTCAACAGAAAAGATAGTGTATTTTTT